ATTTTTAAGGGATTTTAGGGGCATTTTTAAGGGATTTTAGGGGCATTTTTAAGGGATTTAGTGACTTTAGGAATTTTTAAGGGATTATGAAAGAGCTGAGGAAAGTTTTAAGGGGTTACAGAGGATTTGGGGAAATTTTTAGGGGATTTTAGGGAATTTATAGGGGATTTTAGGGGGGTTAAGGGGATTTTTAAAGGATTTTAGGGGATTTTTGGGGATTTTTGGTGGAATTTTTAGGGGAACAGCGCCGCCAGCTGCTCGTGCACCGCCTTCAGCTGAGGGGAAAACCAGTTTTTAGGGCATTTTGGGGAATTTTTAGGAATTTTAGGGGTTTGGGAGAATTTTTAAGGGATTTTAGAAGAATTTTAAGGGATTTTAGGGGATTTTTGGGGGGATTTTTAGGGGAACAGCGCCACCAGCTGCTCGTGCACCGCCTTCAGCTGAGGGGAAAAGGATTTTTTAGGGGATTTTTAGGAATTTTGGGGAATTTTAGGGGTTTGGGGGAATTTTTAAGGCATTTTAGGGGTATTTTTAGGGGAATTTTTAAGAGATTTTGGGGAAATTTCAAACCCAATGATTTTGACTCCACAAACCCAAAGATTTTGACCCAACAAACCCAATGATTTTGAGTTTAAACCCAACAATTCTGACCCAAAACCCAACGATTTTAACCCAATAACCCCAACAATTTTGACTCCACAAACCCAACGATTTAGACCCAAAACCCCACGATTTTGAGTTACCAAACCCAACGATTTTGACCCAACAACGCCAACAATTCTGATCCAACAGACCCAACGATTTTGGGTCACCAAACCCAACAATTTTGAGTTAAAACCCAACAATTCTGACCTAACAAACTCAATGATTCTAACCCAACAAACCCAACGGTTTTGAGTTAAAACCCAACAATTCTGACCCAACAAACCCAACGATTTTGAGTCAAAACCCCACAATTTTGAACCAACAACCCCAACCGTTTCGAATTAAAACCCAACGATTTTGACTCCAGAAACCCAACAATTCTGAGTTAAAACCCAAAAAATTCGGGTCACTGAACCCAACAATTTTAACCCAAAATCCCAACGATTTCAACCCAAAACCCCAACGATTTTAACCCAAAACCCCAACGATTTTGACCCAAAACCCAACGATTTTGACCCAAAACCCAATGATTTTGGGTCACCAAACCCAACGATTCAGACCCAAACCCCAATGATTTTAACCCAAAATCCCAACGATTTAGACCCAACAACCCCAACAATTTTGACCCAAAACCCAACAATTTTGACCCAATAACCCCAACAATTTTGACCCAACAACCCCAACAATTTTGAGTTAAAACCCAACATTTTTGACCCAAAACCCAACAATTTCAGGTCACTGAACCCAAGAATTTTGAGTTAAAACCCCACAGTTTTTCCCCAAACCCCACGATTTTTCTCCCAAACCCCACGATTCCTCCCCAAAACCCCACGATTTTGAATTAAAACCCAATGATTTTGGGTCACCAAACCCAATGATTTTGAATTAAACCCCAACGATTTAGACTCAACAACCCCAACAATTTTGACCCAATAACCCCTACAATTTTGACCCAAAACCCAATGATTTTGACCCAAAACCCAACGATTTCAGGTGACTGAACCCAACAATTTTGAATTAAAACCCCACAATTTTGAACCAAAACCCCACGATTTTGACCGAAAACCCACAATTTTGAATTAAAACCCAATGATTTTGGGTCACCAAACCCAACGATTTTGGGTCACCAAACCCAACGATTCACCCAAACCCCAATGATTTTAACCCAAAACCCCAACGATTTTCTCCCCAAACACCCCCAATTTTCCCCCAAAACCCCAATGATTTTTCCCCAAAATCCCAACAATTTTGACCCAAAACCCCACAATTTTGAGTTAAAACCCAGCAATTTTGGGTCACCAAACCCAACGATTTTGGGTCACCAAACCCAATGATTTTGGGTCAACAAACCCAACGATTTTGGGTCAACAAACCCAACGATTCAGACCCAAACCTCAACGATTTTAACCCAAAACCCCAACGATTTTCTCCCCAAACACCCCCAATTTTCCCCCAAAACCCCAACGATTTTTCCCCAAAATCCCAACGATTTTGACCCAAAACCCAACGATTTCAGGTCACTGAACCCAACATTTTTGACCCAAAACCCAACAATTTTGACCCAAAACCCAACAATTTTGAATTAAAACCCAACGGTTTTGGGTCACCAAACCCAACCATTTTGGGTCACCAAACCCAATCATTTAGAATTAAACCCCAACGATTTAGACCCAACAACCCCAACAATTTTGACCCAAAACCCCACAATTTTGAGTTAAAACCCAGAAATTTTGAGTTAAAACCCAACGATTTTGGGTCACCAAACCCAACGATTTTGGGTCAACAAACCCAACGATTCAGACCCAAACCTCAACGATTTTGACCCAAAATCCCAACGATTTCTCCCCAAAACCCCCCAATATTTCCCCAAAACCCCAACGATTTTGACCCAAAACCCAACAATTTCAGGTCACTGAACCCAATGATTTTGACCCAAAACCCCAACGATTTTGACCCAAAACCCAACGATTTCAGGTCACTGAACTCAACGATTTTGACCCAAAACCCAACGATTTTGACCCAAAACCCAACAATTTCAGGTTACTGAACCCAACAATTTTGAGTTAAAACCCCCCAATTTTCCCCCAAACCCAACAATTTTGACTCCACAAACGCAACAATTTCGGTCATCAAACCCAATGATTTTGACCCAAAACCCCACAACTTTCCCCAAAGCCCCACAATTTTGGACCCAATAACCTCTATAATTATGACTCCACAAACCCAACAAATCTGAGTTAAAACCCAACGATTTTGGGTCACCAAACCCTCCAATTTTTCCCCAAAACCCCAAAGATTTTTTCCCCAAAACCCCACAATTTTGACCCAACAAACCCAACAATTCTGAGTTAAAACCCAACCATTTTGACCCAAAACCCAACAATTTCAGGTTACTGAACCCAACAATTTTGAGTTAAAATCCCCCAATTTTCCCCCAAACCCATTATTTTTCCCCCAATTCCCATGATTTCCCCCAAATCCCGTCCCCACCTGCTCCTGGAGCTCGGCCAGGCGCTGCGCCCGCTCCTCCTCCGAGTCGTCGCTGGAGCTGTCGCTGTCGCTGGAGCTGTCGCTGGAGCTGTCGCTGGACGAGGGGGGCGGGGCCACCTTCCCGGGGGGCGGGGCCACGGCGGGGGAGGAGGCGGCCACGGGCGGCTCCTCGGGCTCGTCCGGCATCTTGGCAAAACGCATCTCAAACACGTCCTGAGAGA